TTGAATCTTCTAAATTGTTGAAGAAGATTCCTTTCCAAAGTAACATATCTTTTAAATTTTGATGTGTAATATTAAGTCTCAATGTTACCACGTAATACTCTTTTAAAAGAATCATTAAGTCTTAATATTAATATATTTTAGACTAAATAATGAAAAGTAAAGAGTCTTTAGTCTAACAATCAATAGCATGTTGTTTAGTGTAAGATGGAGATTGGTTAACTGTTAATTCGTCATCAATTTTCTTTGTAATTTTATGAGTGTCATCAATTTTCTTTCTTCTCTATTGACCATATAATAGTAGTATTAAGTACAGTCTTCAAAAATATCTGATATCGAATTAATAATATCACCCACTAAGTTGGTTGTGTGAGTGATTTTATTTCTAATATAATTAATAAAAAAAAATTCAATTAGAAACCATCATACTGAAGTTATTTAGTTATAAAATTTATATTTTTTATGAACTTTATGATTTACGAGTTATTGCATATAAATAAATTTTTTTATTATGCATCCAAAAAATAGTAGTTGATATATAATTGTTACATTTTCTTCAATCTTCACCAACTATATATGTATTTCCAAGGATATAGGGAAAATTAGTGTAATAAAGCACATGCACACAAGCAAATCTTGGTTGGTGTTGCCAAATGCCACCTATAAAGTAACATGAATATTATTGATACTTTGGGTGATGTATATGAATTAATTAAGGGATCAATACAATATATATTTAATTAGATAATAAGAGATTTTGTTCTATAAACTATTAAACCTTTATTACTTAATTTTTTTCTTTTTCTTAGAAATTATATCAACTCCAAATTTTAAATACATATAGCAATAGACAATTTGTAGGAGAACAATCTAATTAAATATAATGAGAAGTAAATTATTTTCTAATAAAAGGAATTCCATTTGAAATGGTTATTATTTTCATCGAAGAGTACCGAAAAATCCATTTGAGTAATAAAATATTTTTAAATTTCTTATTCAAAGAGACTCAAACTCATAATCTTTAACTAAATATAATAATACATATTCGTTGTTAATTAAACTCCCAATTTTACTCAACTCTAGATGCGACTCTAAACAAAGTAATAAGAAGAATAAAATAGTGTATATGTTTCTTTCACTTAGTTGTAAGAACAATCTAATTAGACTAAAATAGTGTATATGTTTCTTTCACTTAGTTGTAAGAACAATCTAATTAGACTTTAATTGTCGCTAATCTAATTTGATTGTCACTATTAATTTTCTTGTCTAATTGTTTCAAAGGATATGCAGAGTAATTATACATAAAATAATACTCACAATACCATGGGGAACAAGCAAATCTTGGTTGGTTTTGCTACCTACAAAACAACAAGAGAACTACTACTGCCATCAATATAATTTATAATATATATGTGATAGGGATCTTTAAAAATAAAGTTACTAGTTTTTCATTTAATATTGCACATATATTTTAATGTTCATAATTTTTTTTCTCATCCGATACTTCTAGTCTGACTATTTTAGAGTTGTACTGCATAGGACCTTATTTAAGAATAAACACTTTCTATCAAAAGAAGTTTTATATTTAAAATTCGAACTTAATATTTTTAATTTAATTAAGAAACGAACAACTATTATGAAAAAAATTAAAGAAAAATATTAGACACAAGTTTTTGTCTTGGCATTAAAGAAGAGACGTGAATAAAAGTTGAGCCACAAAGAAATACATGCACTTTGTTACGTAAAGTTGAAAAGGAGACTATCATATATAGAGACAGCCATATCTTTGAAATATCTTTCATAGTATATATAATTAAATATAATAATATTTCACCAAAACTAATTATTTGCTATGATATATATGATAGACTAAAATCTTGAATTTATTTTGTATTTATATCATGCATTTTAATCTATGTTTGAACTCTTAGTTAAAGATTAGATATTTAGAGGGTTCTTGAGTTATAATATCTAGTGTCTGATGTTCATTGTAAATATTTAAATATTTAAATAAAAAATGTAAGTATACTACTTCTTAGATTTCAATTTGTTTCTGTTATTATTTGAACAACATTTTCTTTTATTATAACTTTTTCTAATAGTTTTAAAATTTTTAAATTGATAATTATGGTATTTTTTATAGTATTTTTTACGCAGTTTATAATTGTATAAATTATACTTTGAAAAAAATTAAAAATTTATGTCTGAAATTACAATTCACAACAAATATTAATTAGTTTAACCTTCAAGTTTTTATACAAAATAATCATACGATTTAACATGATATTATAAAATCTCAGCCTACTCAAAAAAGCAAAAAAGAAAAAAAAAATCTATTTCCGGAAAATTTTCCAAAGTTTGAGTATTGACTAACAAAGAAATTAAATCAAATCGAAAATGCTGGAAAGAAAGCTGGTTAAATTAAATTCAGTTTAATTAGTTCCATGTATTAAATTAAAATATATATTTTTTTAAAAAAGATATGAACTACGTGTTTTTGTCATTTTATTATATAATAATTGAAAAAAGGTGTATTTCTCGTGCTGCTTTTTTTTTAATTATAAATAGTGGCGTTGCCTACTTATAAATATTCTTATGCCCCACATAAATATTTTCTTTGAATATAACGTGACTGATACTGAAATAGTGTAATAAGGTCCCCCTACTTAATTTTATGCCACATGCATTAAACTTTATTAAAATGTAATTATTACATATTTTTAGAGGGCTAATTCTTCTTAAATTTTGCTTTATATAGTCATCAATGATCAATCTCCTGTTTAACAAGGAAAATTAATAAGCTAAGATATTTAATTAAATTAATCTTATCTCTTACTCAAATGATTATGTTCTTTTTGGAGTACTAGTGAATTTTAGAGTGGTGATTAGTATTAATCTCATTGTATAAGCTTAATTGGTCAGAAAAAAGCATAAATATTTTACTTAATTATATAATATATTTTTAACACAATCCTTCATGTTCGAATTTGATTTTGTTTTCTAAATTGAAGAAGTAAAAATTCTTATTTAAGAATAAGAAAAGGTGAAATTCGAAATCAAAACTTCTAATCACACTTTTGACACCATATTAAACTAATGATCATTATATTTTAAAAATTAAATGATTAAATAAAATAACTTTTATTAATTTAATCTTATATCTCTTATAATAAAAAAAATAGAATTAAATCATTTTTAATGTGTTCTTATTTTATAAAGTGACAAATTAAAAGGATTGGATCGAGTCCTTCCTAGTTCCAATACAGTGACTAAATTGATCATTTTGTGCAAACTTTTAGAAAAAATTAAAAAAGACTTTGGTGGTTTATATGTTCTTTCTTTTTCGTGACAAAAATTGATAATTTTAAAGTTTAGGCTAAATTTTTTTTCATGCGCGTGAAATTAAATATTTTTTCTATTTCATATTAATTATTATAGATATTTTTTTAAAAGTCAAACTAAATAAATTTGTATCAATATTTAAAATATATTTTTTCATAATCATATTATCATTAAAAAAATAACAACTTATAATAATATTTTTCATATAATTTATATATCAAACTTATAATTTGAGCACATAAAAGTCGTGTAAATGAATGTCAAAAAGAAACAGCGGCAATGTCTTAAGAATTCATAATTTACCTTCCAGAATTTGTGGTTCAATATTTTGTCTCTTATTAACAAGATATATCGTTAATCGAAGTTCCTAACTCTGATTTAGGAGACAAAATTAAAAGAATATTAAAAAATTAAACAAATTAGTAAGAGGACAAACAATAAGGAATCTCATAATTCAATTAGCTTAATCATACACGTGGCACATTTTCCAACAATCATCACAGTTTGACTATAGTCTCATAATGTGTGTTTGGTATTGATCATGCCAATTTTTCATTTTTTTTGACTGATCAAAAATATTTTTGAAAATTTATTTTCACTAAAAGAACAAGTTGATTAAAAAAATGAGAAAAGTTAATTCTCTATTTAAAATAGAAAAAAAATTAAGTTTTATGAATGATTCCTCATTCGCTATAGATATTTATTACTTCCTTCGTCTTTAATTACTTATTCACTTTGAATTAATATATCTATTAAAAAATAATTATTAACATGATAAATTTATCATTTTATCCTTATTATATTTAATTATGAAATAAATGAATTAATACTTTAAGATTTTTAAATTTTTTTATTTTTTTCAAAGTAATTAATTGAGGGCATAATAAGTTAAAAAAAATATCCTTTTTTAATTTATCAAAATGGACAAACAATTAGGAAAAACTAAAAAAATAAAAATAGACAAGCAATTAGGACGAGACAGTAATAGCAAATTTTTTTGCTGAGTATTTATGCTTGGTTTTTGATGTTTTAGCAATATTTATATAAAGTGTTATTTATAAATATTCAAATTTATTATTGATGTTAATTACTGCTCTCTCCCAATTTATTTGACTTATTTTATTATTAGTGAGTTTTTAAAAAATGACATATTTTTATATTAAGGAACAATTTAACTATAAAATATTTTTTTATTCTTAATGAAATAATTTACAGCCACACAAATTTCTATCATTTATTTTGCACCACAAACTTTAAAAGTTTTTCTTTCTTTCTTAAACTCAGTGACAAGTCAAATTACCTCTCAGATAAAATGGGACAATGGGAGTATAGTATAATGACAACACTTTAATGGTCATGATTTCCTTTTTAGACTCAAATGTCGAGAATTTTAATTAGCTTTTTATGATATATTTTTCATCATATTTATATGCAAAAAAATATGCAAGTTATGATACTTTTTTTTATAGTTTTTAAATATCTAATATTTTTTATTTAAAATATTAAATTAATGTAATTTAATTAATTTTCAAAAACACAATATAAAAATTAAAAGTAAACATATGAAGTATATTATTATCTCTAAATTTTTTTTTTAATACGTATGAAAATATAAAGTATAATAATACAAAAATAAAATACAAAACTGTTTTATCCTGATCGAAGGTATTTGACAATCATACAATTATTCATTCCACTATAGATAAATGAAAACACGACGTCGTACACAAAATATACTGCCTCAACCAATGTGCAACAGACACACGTTATATTTATCTGTCTCCTTTTTTACAAACACTACAAAAAAATAATTGAATTACATCCAGAAACTAAAATAAAAATAAAATCACAGCATCTATAAATATCTCATTTCCTATCTTACGTTAGCCAAAAAGTTTCCAAAAAAAAAAACACACATATCTAGAGAGAGAATTATTCGAAAACAAGAAAAAAAATGCTTCTCTTCTTAAAATCAATAAGTTCCAGATCTTTTAATCATCAAGATTTTAAGAACAATAATAGCAGCTGCAAGGAATTAACAACAACATCGTCGTCGTCGTTATCGTCATCGTCATCGTGTATATCGTTAACAGTATGGAGAAAATCACTTATATTTAGCTGTAAAGGATTTACAGTTATTGGGTCCGATGGAAATTTAGTGTATAGAGTTGATAATTATTCTGGTAGACGTGACCAAACTATTTTAATGGATGCTTCTGGAAAACCTATTCTCACTATATGTCGCCATAAGGTAATTGATACTCTCTCCGTTTTATTTTATCTGTCATATTTTATATTTTATTTTTCGAGAGTTAATGTTGTATCGACCATAGACAAAAGAACTACTTTTAATAAGTTTAACAAATATCAACAACTATTAATTAGGTAGACTAATTCTATCTTAGCAAATAACAACTCTACTTTGCCAACTTGATACAATTTTAAACCTCTTGTTTGGCCGTAGATTTAAAGTTTTGAAATTTGAAAATTTAAGTATTAGAAATTGTGTTTGAAGTCTAGAGATGTATTTTACTAATTGGAAATTTGAAGTCTAGATATGTATGGCCAAATACTAACTTAGTTTTATAGTTTTATTTTAATATATTTTTATTTGTAGTTATCTTTTATATAATTTAATAGCATTAAGAAATTTTAAATCATTAAGTCATCACTAGGAATATGAGCAAATTATAAAGGATATATCAATTTTTTTAAGTTTGATTTTTTTAAAAAAGGCAAGTATAGTAATTCCTTATGTTTTTTTTTAATATTTTTCATTAGTGAATATTCTGACTCGATCTTTTTTACCAGAAACTAAGGATAGTAGACAATAATTGGTTCATATATGAAGGAGAAGTACTTGGAGATCATGATTACAAGGCATCATCATTAAGAAAGAAGCCTATATTTTGTGTAAAGAAACAAATGAAGATTTTACATAGTAATATTAATGTACTTGCCCATGTTTATTATCATGGAACATCATCAAACAAGACATATTCTTATATTATTGAAGGGTCATATGCAAACAGAACATGTAAAGTGTTGGATGCAAAATCAAGAAATGTTGTGGCAGAAATTAGGAAGAAACAAGCAGTAATTGGTGGTGTTACTTTTGGATTAGAAGTTTTTGCATTAATTGTAATGCCAGGATTTGATTCTGGATTTGCCATGGCTATGGTGGTGTTGTTAGACCAAATGTTCTCCTAATTTATAAGTTGTTTCAATATATGTTAGTTAATTTTATGTAGCGATCACATTTGAGTAAATGTGATGTTATCACTTTATTATATGATCTTCGATAATATATCGCGATCGTCTAATATATAAGATAGGTAATTTTTATGGTTAGAATCTGGAGGCAAGCCAACAATAGGTTTATTATTTTATAAAATGATATCAAGATTAAATTCAATTTTATTTTTCGTATATCGAATATTAAATTTTAATATATTAAAACAATTTATGTTATAAATATTCAGATAAATTAACTAGACGCACAAATCAAAGTGTTTTTTTGCCTAGGACCAAAGATGGCCTCTCAAGTAATGGTTTCGACCCTAATAATGGAGAGTGTTAAGATGGAATTGGTGTTAAGTGTCCAATATTAATTAAGAAAATTAAGATGCAATGGGTGTTAAGTGTCCTATATTAATTAAGAATATTAAAATGCAAAAATATTATTTTTAGGATTGTGATATTTTAGAGATAGAATTAAATTCAAAATCAATCATTTTAATATGTGGTTTGATGTCGATCTAATTTACTATTATTGCTACTACACTATATTTAACCATTCTTTGGTGAGAAAGTGATACAAATAAACTAATGTTTGACTATAAATTTTGAAATTAAATTTTAAATTTTATCTTTAAATGATCATGAAATTGATTAGATATTTTGAAAATTTGATCTTCAAATAATTTTAAATTCTCAAAAATTAGCTTAGATTCGTTTTTATGACTTCGTAACTTTGACTCACAAAACTTTTATTTTTCCCGATAAACTGGTTAACCAAATATAACTTCAAATTCTAAGAATTACAACTTTAAAAACTTGTTTTTTTTGGAAATTTTAACATCAAAATCTATGACCAAAACGAAAGTTAATGTGGACATATATTTTTCAAAGTTAAATTTGTACTCATACTTTGCTATGTAGAGATCAAATCAAAGTTGTCTAGTTTGGTATTAATTGTATTCCTTTTGCTCAGAAAGACAAATTCAAGGACGGTGGCTGAATTGAAAACTCCAAAAAAAAAAATGGAAATTAAACTAATCAATTTCTGGTATATTAATCATTTTTCTTCTTCTTCATCCAAATTAGTAGTGTGATTAGGTACTAATTAGCATAATAGAGCCATATATGAAGTAAATATAACAATTTACAATGTACCTTGTTATGAAGTCACTTTGTTAGGGAGGCTTAATTTTTTATGTAAGACTTTTCGACGTGAATTCAAATTTAATCAGGCTTCAATATACCGGACACGAGATATTATTTTTTTTACAAACTTTCTTACTATTTTGGAAAATAAGTATTAAGAAAAAGTTATAACAATTTTTTGGTGTCGATAGTTTAAAATTCCATCAAATTTTATACTTTTCAATAATCATTTTCTTTAAAAAAAAAACTAAAATGGAGATGCGGGGTATCGATCCCCGTACCTCTCGCATGCTAAGCGAGCGCTCTACCATCTGAGCTACATCCCCTTTTGTTTACTAAAATATGGAAATTTTTATTGAAAAAATTTGCAGGTTATTTAGTTCGAAAACCACTTATGATAAGATTAGCTTTTAGTCCCTGTTTAGTAATTAAAAATAATATGTATTGCATAATTTCTATGAGTAAATTGTTTTATTATAAAACCGTCCTTCATTAGTGTAAAATGTGTGAAAATATAAAGAGAAATTTTTGTCATTCTAAATATTTTATCCTGAGATAAATTATTTAAAACTATTGTTCCACCCAGAAGCAAAAATAATTTATGTCCACACTAATTATTAGTCATGAGATAAATCATCTTCAACTTTTACAACAAAACTAAAGTTATCCCAAAAATATTTTGTTTTATCTATGACACCAATAATATCTTTGAAATTTTACATCCAACTAGCAAGATTAGTATATTTAATGGTTGTTTATTTATTCTGTCCATGAATATGACACTAGTTTAGAATACCTTATTTGGTTTTCCATATCAATTTCACCATTATTGGGTCAATACTATTGTATTCCTCTATCTTATTATGATGCTATTTTATTTTCTTTAATTATATCTATTGTTTTCTTGTTCTCAATACCTTAGTTTTTTTTAGCATAGCTTTTTTACGTATATATTTTTTTAACTTGTTCTGAAAATACTATTTTTGAATAGAGGAATTTAACAAAAAAATCTAAGACTTTACGGTTTACCCAATGTAAAAATAAGGTTTGCAATTTGCATAAATATCGATTTCCCAAATTCAATTTATGAATTCACCGATCCAATAAAATAAAGTGATAACCTTCCCAAACTCGATTTATGAGATCACTAATTCGATAAAATAAAGTGACAACCTTATTTCGTAAAAAAAAATGGAGATGCGGGGTATCGATCCCCGTACCTCTCGCATGCTAAGCGAGCGCTCTACCATCTGAGCTACATCCCCATGGTGGCAAAAATTTTAGATTTATTTTTTCATATATGTTTATAGTTCTCACAAGGATCTTTACTTTTTACACATAAATCTAAAAGAACTATTTTTTTAAATTTATTTTGTAAGAATGCGAAAAAATCCCAATTCTACTTATCATTCAGATGATATTAAACATATACATTCTTTAATAAGATGTTTTAAAATTTCGTAATATACATTTTTACTTTATTAAATTACTTAATTTTATAAAATTAAAATAATTTGATAACAATATTCAATTAAATATTTACGAGAAATGATGAGCAATTGCTTCAAATTGATTGTTATGGAGCTTGAGTGGAGATCCAAAAATATCACTTCTCACGACTCAATTTATGATTTGTAATTTTACTTGTAAATATTATTAAAAAGAAATTAAAATATTAAACAAAAATTTATATATTTTAATCTCAAAAAATAAAATAAAATAAAATATAGTACTTTGCAGAAAGTACTCTTGTTCAATCCGAATTCCAACAAACCGCAATTTCCCTCTTTCATCTCACCCTAAATACTTCATTCAATTCAACGTATTTTGCCCTTTTTTTGTAATAACAAAATCGCCATGGAAGTTGATCAATTGAGCAGCAAGTGACCCGAATGGTAGAGTCCGACCCGGATGTTGCACCCTAAACGGATCGTCGTCATCAGTTAATCAGCCGGTGACTGGAGTTGATGAGATTTTTCTTCTGATAACAGGTAAAGCTTATAACTCCTTTTTTACAACAAAATTACATGGATTCTAAGAAATTAGTAGTTAATGTCAATCAAGGGGAAACACTTGAATATGATGAGTGTAATATTAGTAAAAACTGCAAAACTAAAGCGAATGTAAGCTTAATTGGAATCCGAAGGCAAAAGAATGGGAGATGTGCTGCTGTGATTACTGATCGAATTAGGCATAAGAAAGTATGGTTAGGCACTTTTGACACTGTTGAAGAGGCTTCACAAGCTTATTTCTCTAAGAAATCTGAGTTTCAGAATGAGAAATTAAGGAATCAAGGAAATAAGAAGAGTGAAAGAAAACGTGAAACGAGAAGTATTGTTGAGGTTTACAAGAGAGGAAAATATTATTCTGAGAAATCAGATGTAAAGCAAGGTAATGAAAATGTGAATGGTGAAGTATGTCACATGGAATCAACTTGGGAATCAGAAATTGATGTTGTGATCTTAAGTTCATTTAATGGAGGAACCGAGCAAAGGATTGATTCTCACGAAATAGGCAGTGTTGAAGAAGTTTTTCGTATAGCTAAAGAGGGATGCAGAGTGTTTAACTTAGGTTTAATGGCTAATGTTTGTGGCACAAAATCATCTGATGACTGTAACAATACTACAAGTTGCAATCCTAAAGTTAAGGTAAGCTTGATTGGAGCCAGAAGGCAAAAGAATGGGAGATATGAAGCTGTAATTACAGATCCATTTACGCATAAGAGAGTCCGGTTGGGGACTTTTGACACAGTTGAAGAGGCTTCACAAGCTTATTTCTATAAGAAGTCGGAGTTTGAGAAATTAAGCCATCAGGGAAATCAGCAGAATATACTGAAGAAGAATTGCGATCATATTCAGCAGCTTGAATCATCGTTTGTGGTGGCATCCTTAGATACTGTTGCTAGTGAAAGTGGAATATCTAAAAGAATCGATTCTCAAGGGGAAGAACCTAAATCTTCTAAAGCGACCTCATGCGTTGAGTCATCTGATGAGTGTTGTATTACTACAAGCTGTGATCCTAAAACCAGGATAAGCATAACTGGAATCAGGTAGTGGATCACCAGATATTGATATTCCGTTTTCAAATTTCATCTAACGGAGGAACTGTCCAAAGTATTGATCCTGACAAAATAGACAATCAGTCTAAGAAATTCAATCTTGAGCTGAAAAGCAATATGCTAATAGATTCGAACAACTGCATGGGAGAAGCAAGAAGGTCAAGAGGACGACGAATATTCATGGAAGGGGGAATGGATGCAACTTCCAGGTGATGACAGGGCAGTCTCATGTTTTCACTAAAACTAGACTTACCAATCATCGATAACTATGGATCTCTTTTAGGTGAGTTCAGCACTTTGGATGATCTCAGTATTTGTAAGATTGAAGAGGGCAATAACTACATTTCACATACCATATAGATTGTAAGTTTGTAATTGTTATTCTTTTAAAATGTCGATGTGTGCATATTGAAAACTCCATGCTCCTAAGATGGTGATTTTTTTAAGGATCTAACGCAAATATTACAACGACATTTTTTAATAGTTTGAGCAACAAAACTTATCATCAAATCCTTGTTGGTAGTGTTAAGTACGCATTTTATGATCGATTACTCATAACTTGATTTTTCAGGTTGCCCGTTAGCAATCAGAGTATGTGCTTTTGGAGAAGAATTTTGTTTAATATAATATAAATATAAATATAAATATTACTAACAAATATTTTTAATCATTTTCCCTTGCGTGCAAACAAATATGCAAGTACCACGCATCAACCTTCAAATGGAGGTTTACAATAGTGCTCTGTGTACATTGTGGAGAGCGATGGCGTCGTAGTACACTCTGCTCATTCTGACATTCAAACAACCCCAATTT